TTTATTTAAACGCGCAGTATTCAGTGCTGATCACAGGCCCCACCCATCTCACAAAGGACGTGCAGAAACCTGGTTACACAACCATACCAGAAAAGCTGGTCCGTTTTCAGACCAGCCAGCGAAGGAAAGACACTCCTTCAAGCCGTGTGAAAAGTGCTTCTTTATAAGCCACAACTAAAAGGAGCAGAGATTAGGGAACCGCTTCCTTCAGGAAAAGATCCATCAAGGCTATAGGCCAAAGTGACTTCTGTAATAATCTGCAGACACCTGCAGGTAGGAGCAGGAGTTATAACAGGGTCATTTTGGAGGGGGAGGCCAGCGAGCTTCTGGGAAGCTCCATGTGCTTGGGGATTGTACAACAGGTCCAAGCATGCTGCATTATATGATTGCGAGCAGCAGCATTGAATACGGTGTGTTTAAATAAAGCTCCAGTCTGCGTCGTCCAAGGCAGCGCTATGCACAAAAATAGCTCCATGGTGCTTCTGATGTCTGTCCCCCTAAAAAGTCATATTCACATGTTGCTCCAGTGTCTGCATACTTAGAGAACCGTGGGCACAAAAGCCAACCAGAAGGACGGGTATTCTCTAATCCTTCTCTTTCATTGCTCTCTCTGGGTGGAGCAGGAGAGGGTTTTTTTAATGATTAGCTCTTGGGAGAGGCTGCCTAGGCTGGTCTGAGCTGTGGGAAGGCAAGTGCATATGGATGAGCCTTAGCTAAGGCTGGAAGGATGGAGACACCTGGGTAGGTGGGTCCACTGCTTTAGCAAAGGGCTTTGCATTACTAGGTAACTGCCAGGCTGGGGACCCAGGCTGTGATAAAAAAAGGTCCCTTCAAGCATGCTTTGGCTTTGACCAAGTTAGGACTTGCCTGTGCAAAGGGGACAAAAGCCCTGTTATAACTGCATTCCTGGATTGTCACAGCCCCAATTCAGATCAGACTGCAACCACTGATAAAGAGCCAGGCTGTAACACAGCCTGGACTTTTTTGTTTTCGCCTCAGTGGGCCCCCAGGCATCAAAGCCCATCCACATAGGCTGGGGTAAGTTTCTGGAAGGGAATCCGTTTCTCAGGGAAGGAAGTAGAAGAAAACACCCAAATCATCCTGGTTATCTCGATTCTATGTTTAGGATCTCAGGAATGGAGCCGCCCATTGCTGGCCACCTGCCTGACCCATACTTATTGTTGTTATTGTTCCTGGTTGTTATTTTCGGTAGTGTGTACTGGCACTACTGAAAAATAACGAGGGGGGAATGGCTGAGTAGTCATGGGGTATTGTTTCACCCAGCATGGCATTTTAATTTATGTTTTTATTTGAAGTGCATTGACGTACAAGGGGAAGGTACCAGATCGGACACTGCTACAGGCTCTCAGGCTTCTCTGGTCCTCTGTGGGCAATAGTTTCATAGTTTCATAGATTTAGGGTCGGAAGG